AAATAAGAAGTTCAAAGTGTGAGAAATTGCCAGAGAGAGGACTGGGGTAGCCAGCCTGGGATGCCGGAGATAAAAAGTTAAAAGCCCTCAGTTGTGAGGTCCTGTGACAGGCCTCCCCGCCCCTCCCCCGCCCCGCCAGATCTTCTGAAACCCTTCTCCCCCATCCCCCAGTGGGTCATGTTAACCAAAAGAAAGAAGAAACGCTTTCTAAGTCAATCTTGTTTTGCTTACTGCAGACAGTAGACGCTGCTACCTGGATCCTGCCTTCACATTCCAAACCAGAGCATTTTTTTGTTTTCAATGCTGTGGTTGATATATATATATATCAAAAAGCAAAAAACAGGTTTTTTTTGGGGGGGGATGATTCGCAATATAATATTGGGGAAAATTCACGTGACGCTTACTGCCCCATTGCAAGTGTACCTTTCCAGACAATGAGATGCCCAAAAGTGCCTGCCACTAAGCCTGATGACCTTAACTTGATCCACTGACCCTCCAAAGTTGTCCCCAGATCTCCATGTCCTCACTGTTCTTTTCGTGCCCCAACCCCCAATTCAATGCATTTTAAAAAGTGCACCATCGACTATAATTTCATTTAGCCATTAAAAAAATGAAATTATGAAATTTCAGAAAAGTGGATGAACTGGAAAATGCATCACCAGGTGACCAGGCTTAGAGGGACTAACAGTGCAGTTCCTTCTCTCACGGGCCTCAGCTTTGCTGTTTGCATTTATGTGGGAGCAAGAGTGTTTAAGGCTAGAACAGAGCTAGAAAAGGCTCCTGCTGCCAAGCCGGGTGACCTGAGTTCCATCCCCGGGACCCACATGGTGGAAGGAAATAACACATTGTTGTCCTTTGACCCCACAGGTATGCCATGGTACAAGTGTATGCCTCCCCCCATGTGTAAAACAGTAAAATATCTAAAAGTAACAAAACAATTTTAAAGCCAGTTAATTCTAAAGGGATGCATGAGAGGATGGGGCTGAAGGTTGTTAGGGGAGAGGGCTGGGGACAGTGTTGGACCCCATATAATAAGGTAGTGGGAGGAGGTGCTGGTTGAGAGGGGACGACCTCAAGGTTCAAGAGGCAGGTAACTTGGAGAGACAGATGCAAGCTAGGGCTTGGTCTATCTGTGGGAGGTATAAGCCCCAAAGAAGTCTCTCAGAGCAGGTGGGAGGGAGGAGCAGAGAGGGAGGGAGAGAAGAGAGAGGGCAGGTCACTGCAGGGTGGGGCTTGACTATAAGGGTGAAGGCGTCCATCGATCCCACAGGCTGTACACCCTACAAGCAGGCACCAGCCCTCAGGATCACAACGGCACTGGCACTGGTGAGTCCGCCTCTGACTAGAGCAAATACATTGTCAACTGCCTCTCCTTCAGAGACTGGCTTGAGACACCCGTGTCCTTACCCTTCCCTTCTACTTCCATAGGTGGCCCCATTAAACCTTCAGGCACTTACAGAGGAGACCTAGCCTGCACCATGAATCCATGGCTCTTTGCCTGCTTGGTCGCCTGCTTTGTTGGGGCCTGGGTGCCTGTTGTCCATGTACAAGGTACGGTCCTTAGCCATACTTTCCTTGACCCAGTTTTCCAGATGTTGCTTTCTCTTCTCACTTGTCCCTCCCCACTTGTCAAAATCTCCACTGATTTTGTATCCTTTGCATTCTTTAGCGGTTCGTGAGAGGTTGGGTACAGCAAGAATTCCTGGCACTACTGGGGCTGGATGGGTAGAGATGAAGGGTCCCCGGCTACTTATTCCAGGACCCCTCCTCTCTGGAGGGTTTCCTTTGCAAGACTAAAGAGGCTTAGGAGCTGTAGGAAGCAGAGGGTGGCTTCCAATTGGGGGAAAATGTACTTACAGCCAGGAATGCATTTTGATGCTCTTGCTCTGCTAGGGGTGTAAGGTTGAGCTGGGATCCCTGGTGATCTTCCGAAGTGTATTCCTTGCCTTTCCTCCCTGTGTAGTCTAACTGAGAATCTAAGGTGGTCCTTTGTGGAACTCAGTTTCCTCATCTGCCAAGTAGGAATGAAAAATGTAAGGATCCAATGAAAAATACTCCCAGCCTGGTGGTCAGGGAGCCATTTCTGGCATCTTCCTCATCCTACTGGAAAGCTGGTACTTGAGGATTTAGTCACTCAAGACCAATTCAAAACAAGGGACATCCCCACAGAGTCTTGGCACTGGGCTGGGTGCTTCATCACAGAAACATGGAATCTCAGCAGGTATCAAAACAAGGTTCCAGGTCAGGTTGAGGACCCAGGATCCTACTCTGCCTGCTCTTCTACTAGGTCCTACAGGTCCAAGCTTCCAATAGAGTCTGCTTTCTGTCCAGGAGGGAGGCTTGGTTTCTTTCCACACAGTCTGCTATCAGAGCCAGGCCCAGCCTCTGCCCTTTGATCCTGGGAGAAAAGTGGCCCCCAGTGTAGGAAAACACCTGCCAAGGATTCTAGGAACCCCAGTTATTATCTAACATCATTGCCCCTTGTCCTCAAGAGCCAAAGTGGAGGATGGTAAGGAGGATGAGCTCTCTCCTGGAACCACAGTACTGGGCTCTAAGATTTGACCCCCAGAGGCAAATTTGGCAGATGGGGCTCCCAGATAACCTTGAAAGCTGGCTAGATTGAGGAACCAAGTTTTTTTTTTAACCAAGTTTTTGTTGTTGTTGTTGTTTATTCATTTACTTCTCTCCTTTCCAGAACTTTGTAGAACCATCTCCTTCTCCTTGGGTGCCCCTCCTAGCTCCTGCACATATTCTTGTGGAGATAATTTCTCTGCCTCCTCTACCAGGTTGAAACTCCCCTGAGACACTAGGTCCAATTTATGTCTGTGTTGTCTGGATATTTGGTACCTAGCAGAACTCTTCAAGCTTTCCTTAGGGGAACCAACAAAGAACGGCAAGATGGGTTTAGCAGTTACTAAGATGAGTAAAGATAGGAAAAGGAATTTAAGCTGTTTTTATGTGGGGACAGGCCAGCTCATGGCTGAGCTCTTCAGAAAAGTTGAATAATATATCCTGTTTGGTTTATATATCCTAGTTATGTAATACATCTATTTATTTATTTTATATGCATGAGTATGGACCTGTATGTGACAGTGCCCATGTGGAGAAAAGAGGACAACTTTCTTTCCACTATGTGGATCCTTAGGATTAAACTCAGGTTATAGGGCTTGGTGGAAAGTGCCTTTACCTGTCTGGCCCAGGATTTCTTTTTAAGACAAGGTCTCACTATGAGTAGAGTCCTTGTCACAGTTTAGGTGCTTTGGGACAGGGTCTCATGCAGCTCAGACTAGCAGGGCTTACAAACATGCATGTGTCTCAATGTCTGGTTAACCATTTTTAGCAAAGTAGGGATGGGCTGGGTGCCCCCCAAGTGTGCACTTGACCTCTACCTCAGAGCAGAAACAGAAAACCCCTCAGGCTTTTTCTTTACCTACCCACAATTCCTGCCAGTGTCCTTATATCAAGATCTAAGAGCAATCCAGGAAGCTAAGCTTCCTTATCTCCCACATAGCCTGTTGACCTCTGTATCTAGAAGGTGTGTGTGTGTGTGTGTGTGTGTGTGTGTGTGTGTGTGTTCACATCTTTGGTTGTCCCTGACAGTGATATGCCCCTGGCATCATGGATGTGACTGGGTCATCTAGTTGCAGGTACCTTTTCTGTGATGACTTTTTGTTGTTTGAGAATTTTATGTATGCAAATATGTTTTGATCAAATCCATTCCCTAGTCTCTCTCCTCCACTATTACCCTTATCCCCTACCACTTTCCCCACCCGACTTCATGTTCTCTGTTTTTAAATCCACTGAGTCCACTTAATGCTGCCTATATGTAAATGGCTGAAGGACCATCTATTAGAGCAGGGGTTTTTGTGTGGGTTTTTTTTGTTTTGTTTTTTCGAGACAGGGTTTCTCTGTGTAGCTTTGGAGCCTGTCCTGGAACTCTCTCTGTAGACCAGGCTGGCCTCGAACTCACAGAGGCCTCTGCCTCCCAAGTGTTGGGATTAAAGAGGTGTGCCACCAACTCCTGGCTGAGCAGGGGTAATCTTTCAGGGACCATGTCCCTGAAGAAAATGGAGCCTCTCCTAGCAACCATCAATTTCCAATAGCTCCTCAGACAGAGGTAAGACTTGATAAGCTTCCCCCATCCACCCATGCTGGGCCTCTGACGGTCTTGATCTTGTGTGAGTCTGTGAACTCATCACAGCTGCTATGGTTGATGCGTGCAATGACCTCATTGTGCCCACCAAATATACTGTCCCTGAAGATGCCCACTTCCTCTGAGTCTTACAATTTTTTTGCCCCTCTTCTGAGAAAATCCCTGGACCTTGTGGGGAAAGAGTATGATATAGATGTCTTGTTTACAGTCTCTTACTCTGAATGTTGGTCAGTTGTGGGTCTTTGGGATAATTATCATCTACTACAAAAAGAAGCTTCACTGATGAGGGTATAACTTATGAGTATATGGTTAAGAATGTAGGGGACAGTTTATTACTATGTCTGTTGATTAGAATAATAGTATTAGGTTCTCACTTAAGGCCTAGTCAGTCACACTTACACACACACACACACACACACACACACACACACACACACAAAGTGCTATATGTGTGTGGAGGTCAGAAGATAATTTATGATTCTCTTCTATGCGGGTTCCGGGGATTGAACATAAGATGGCAAGCACCTTTACCCACTGAACCATCTCATTTGCCTCTGTAGGTGCCTTTGAAGACTGCTGCCTGGGTTACCAACCCAGGATCAAATGGAATATTCTTCAGCGCGCTAGGCATTATCAGTGGCAGGAAGTGAGTGGAAGCTGCAACCTACGTGCTGTGATGTAAGCAGGATCTTCGGTGTTGCTGGGTGGGAGTCATGCATGCCTTATACCCTCACACCCTAACCTGGCACCCACCTTTCCACCCTTTGTAGATTCTACTTCCACCACAAAGGCCCGGTGTGCATGAACCCAAAGGACAAGGATGTGAAGATAGCGATGCGGATCTTGAGCACTAAGAATAAGACAGTTGACAATCCCCAGAAAAGCAATACAGGTAGGTAAGACCCCAGCCAACAGCTCAGGGAGGAAAGCTGCTCAGCATGCTAGCATGGCCCCTTCAGAGAGAGTCAGTTGCTAGTGAGTCAAAGATGGAGGGAATAGCCAATCAGTTGCACCGATGCCCAGTCCATGTGCACCAGCAGTCAACCTCAGGTGTCCTTCCTCAAGAGCTTTCCACTTTTTCTCCTTTTCAGTACTGGGCATTGAATCTAGGCCCTGGAATATGCTACACAAGTGTTCTACCATTAAGAAACATCTCTGTTCAGTGTGTGTGTGTGTGTGTGTGTGTGTGTGTGTGTGTGTGTGTGTGTGTGTACGAACCTGTGCATGTGGTGATGAAAGCTTCTATTGCTCCCCTGTCTTTACTACCCTGAGAAAGGGTCTCTTACCGAACTGGAAGTTTGCCACTTTTGACTAGGATGACTGACCAGTGGACTCTTAGGCTGTGCCTGTTTCCATCCCCCAAAACTAAAATTATAAGAATGTGTAGCTATACCCCATAATTTTTTTTCTTGGTGGTGGCACACACCTTTAATCCCAGCACCCATAAGGCAGAGACAGGTGGATCTCTGTGAACTCGAGGCACTTTGGTCTACAGAGTTAATACTAGGACTAGGTACTTAAAGAAACTGTCTCAAAAAAAACAAAACAAAAACATTTTTTTCTTTTACTTTTTGAGATTTTAATAATTACATCATCTTAACCCACATGCCTCTCTTGTCCTCTTCAAAATTCATGGTCCCTTTTTTTCTTTAATTGTTGCTATGTAATACATAAATTCCTACACATATGAATTTAACCTGATCAGTCTGTATATATTACTTACATGTATGTTTCAGGGCTGATCATTTTGTATTGGATAACCAATTTGTGTGCTCTTCCATGGGGAAGGCCATTTCTCCTACTCTCAGAATGGGAATAGTCTAGGGTTGAAGCCTCCTTGACTCCACCTGCCCCCATCTACATTAGCATGTGTAGAGGACAGTAAGCTACGCTTGTTAGAGGCTGGCTACAGGTGTGCCTGACCACACCTATCAGGGCGTGGTCAAGGTGAGGTCAGGATGACGCGTGATGGGTTCTTAAGGGGTGGCAAAGCACATGAGAGCCCCTCTCTCTGGCCTCGCTGCCTTGCTGCCCTGGCACACTCTGGCTTGCATTTGGCTGGTGTTTATCTGAATAAAGGTATCTCAACCATATAGACTACAGATCGACTTCGCTCGCTATAAGCATATCTATTGTTGCAAACTTCTTAGTCTCCTGGCTCTTAAAATCTTCCTGCTCCCACAAGGACACCAGTCGGACATCTGGGGAACCAGAATAGGTCCAAACCAGCCCCCCCCCCCCCCCCCAACT